TAAATACCCCACCTTTCATCTTAATCTTTAACCAACCACACAAACCAAAGCCAGCAAACCCAGCAGTATCCTTGATTAATAATTTCCCCAGTTTATCACACTAATCATGTGCTCCACAATCTCCGAGAAGCAAACCAAAACCAGCCAGCTAGAAGAAGACGACCAACCACAAGAGGGATCAAACAGCCTAGCGGGCCGCGTCACCAGCCACTTGCACCTAAAGCCGGTCCACACGACAGGCACGCTCGACAAGGCCGTGGTGCTCCGCCGCATACGCCACCGCAAGCGCGTCAACAGGGTGAAATCCGCCGTGGGAGCTCTTCTCGGCCAGCGGTCTGCCTCTGCCAGCAACACTGCTGTGGCCAATGGTGGCGAGACTTGTGGTGTTTGCCCGCGGTTGACATGGGTTGATGACGCTTTTGCTGCCCCTTAATGGTTCTTCTAGCTGTATATGTTGGGATATTACTCTGTTTTAGCCTTTAGGGATTGAATTCTACTGTGTCACTTTAATATTGCTGAAAGAATTTTACTTTTCTTTTTTTTATAATCGTTGGCTGAAGTTCATAGAACCATTCTAGCACTTTGTCCAAAACAAAAGAAGTATCATATAGTTAACATATGGGTAAACCAACAGTTAAGACCGATTTATTTAATCAACAAGAAAGAGCTCATTAAAATCATAGTTAGTGATGATTTAATTCGAACTGAAAAGAAAGTATCTTAGGCTATTCTAAATAAGATATTCGCAACGTAAAAAAGACGGTACAAAGCTATGTGGAAAGTCAATTGTTAGTACCAAATAAAGTTCAATAGATATGCGGAGCAAAAACGAAGAATTAATGAAGAGTAACAAGGATACAATATATAGAGATCCTTGTTGACATTAAAAAATAAGTTAAAACCCTAAAAGATATGCTCAGGTCTCTAGAAGAGAAAGAAAGCAACATTTGGGACTGAAATTTTAGGGGAGTTACAAAATTGCGCATAACAAGTAAATAATGAACGTTCACTTAAATGCGGAAGTAATTCAAATCAAAATTGAACCTCTAGGAGAGCATCTCACTCTCCATTTGTAACTCTCCATTTCTATTCTCCTAAGAATCTCCGCGGGACCTCTATATATACATCATTAAGCTCATGGAAAAGAGAAAAATAGATCAAAATTCTCCTACGTGTGATATTCTTATACATGCACGCCCCATACTCTCTCTCTCTCTCTCTCTCAGTTTTCTGTTAAAGTTTTATCTTTTTCTTGTTATTCTACCGATACAAGTTGAAGAGTACATTAGAAGATTCTAGGGTAACCGAGACATATATTCATCAAACCCCGGAGACCAATCGGAGCCGATGAGTCATGGCCTGAAGCCGAGACCCGCCGACCCCGACCACTGCCGACGATCGCCGCCAGCCGGAGCCGACAGACGAACCCGCGACGACGCCGATCGTAACCCGACACCAACGCGATGATTTCAGCGAGCAACACGACAAGCTGCTCTCGGCGATCCGATCGTATTTCCGGCCTGCTCGTGTGCCCATCCCGGTCATCCCAAATTCGTCAGATACAAATAAATTTTATACAGTAAGTTTTCTACGTCAAACTTTTAGATTCGCTGCGCATAGGTTTGCGTTTGCTATTAAATTCGTGATTTGTACATAACGAGATTCTCACAGATTCCAACGCAAGTATCGATCTTAGCTTTTTATGCTCTTTGTTTACCTTTCACTATATTCGAGCTACAATTATATTAAAATTTATTTAATCTTATTATATTATTTTCCTAGTCGAGGCATCTATAAAGTTGAGTCACAATTCATTATAGTACAAGGTCTTTGCACGGTAAGGCCATTCAAGCACGACCCTAGTTGCAAGTCGTTTCACGAGCTACTATTCAGGGTGAGGAATTCTTACCCTCTTATTCTCTTTAATCGCATGATATTGTTATTGTTGTATGTACATGTGGCATAGGCATTCGGGCGATTATATATATGGGGCTAACGAACCAATGGACTAGGTGCACTATAGTTGCGCCACAACACGTTGATGGCTCACAAATATTATTCATGGCCTTCGAGCAATACTATTGTTTGTCGATGGGCAACGGACTAGTGCACTTGGAGTACTCGTGTGACGGCATAGACATTACAGGTATAAGTTAGCCTATGGGCTACAACTTTATGTTTACGTCGTGTGTACAATGATGGTGATGTCGTCTGTTATTACTAATCTGGATAATTGCATATATATAGTTTCTCTCCACTGACTCGTACTATACTCATCCCACCATTAACATTTTCAGATCAAGGAACTTGGTAAGTGCTGACGATCAGGCACAATAAAATATTATATCTGATTACTCGTTATTCTCTTATTATATCAGTAAAATGATTATAGGTTATTTTACTTTGAAAATTTTATAAATGTTATTTTATGTGAAGTCTATCCTCTTGTAATATTTTGAATTTGAGTACTATTAATACAAAAAGCTTTTACCGTTTGGAGTTTTAGAAAACGATCATTATATTAGATTTCAGCTATGAATAATCGGATGGCTCGGCTTATGAAGTTATCCATTATTATTCACAAATGATGTATTGATATGTATCCTACAATAAATGCACATTGAACATGTGTCAGTACATAAAGTTATGAATAACTCTATAAGAGAGTCATCCGACTGCTCCATAGATCTTCGGTAGATTTCAAATTGTTTCAAGTTGTTAGCATTTTCTAACAACCGCAAGACTTTTTTTTATTTGATTTGGCTATGGTTTATTGCACTAACTTTTCCGCATGAAATTTGTTTGATTAGAATGCAAAATGGTGAAAATGGCGAAATATTGAGTGCGACACGCTTTTATTTTAAATTTTGATATTTATTTTTGGTACAAAAATTGTTCAAATTTTGTTAGCACATTTTTAAATTATCTTATTTACTTTTGTCAAAAATCGGGCATTACAATAGTTCTTTAAAAAATAAAAATAAAAAATAAGAGAAAAAATCCACGTGACAGTATACAAATATATTTATATTTTTTTATTATTAAAAAAAAAAAACTCATCAGCTTGGTGTTCCCAAATGAATCAGTACTTGGCGGAGGGTATAGAGTCCCAGTTAGAATAGCCTTCCATCCCCTGCGCCACCCCCATCCTCCCCAGGTCCGGCGCC